GGACTGGTGAAGGTGGTGTGGGGGCTCACTCAGCTCAGCCCCTAAGAAAACACAAGGCCCCCTTCCTCTAACTGCCCAACAGACACACCAGCATACACACCTATGCACAAGGAAAACAAGAACAAAGAGCCGGAGAGCCAAAGTGCCCCCCACCTTCTGCTCCCGACACTTTCTGGGACTTTTTTTTTATATATATACCCCATCTGTAAACGCGTAGATGAGACGAGTGTGTGGCACGGACACGGACACAGACACGGACACAGACACAGACACAGACACAGACTGAGAATTAATGGTCCTCCTGTGAATGGGCACCAAGGTCTGGGGCCAATGAGTACACATATGGAGTGTCTGTGTGTGTGTGTGTGTGTGTGTGTGTGTGTGTGTGTGTGAGGAGAGGAGAAAGAAGGACAGATATTATGGTGGGTTTCTCTATTGATTCATTCAGTATTTGGGCTGAACGTACAGCATACAGTCACTGCTTCAATGGGAAACAGAAGTGAAGTGGAAGACTGTCCACTGTCCTCAGCAGTGATGGAGTTGTAGTGTTGAAGTCTATAGGAGTCATATATGGAAAAAATATTTTTAATTAATCCTTTGACCTCTGAACAGAGCCATCAAAGGATTGTTTTTATCTAGTGAAACACAGTCACATCACAATCAATTAATCGTGATTATTCCATAATTAAACAAGGCTAAGTTTGGATTTTTTGACTCATCCAATATGAAAGTGTCGAGAAAATCAAAGTTTATTTTCTACATCCAGTTTGTCTTGTAGAACGCGTCGAGAATCACTTTCAAAACTCTCCATCACAATATACATCCGTCTTCAGTCGGCAGTACGGTCCATTTGACAGTTGACACTGTGAGGGGTTAAGTGTCTCTTAGTAAAGTGACCACTGTCTGAATTGTCTTCTCACAGCTTTGAGAAGACCACATCCCTTCAACCAACCACATTCCATCAGACACTGGAAGTGTATTTAACTGGAGCTCAGGATGTTCCACAGGCTAACTCACAGGTTAATACGCTGCAGTAACGGCCGTTGGGAAGTCAAAAGTTAGCCATTCTCCATAGTTGGCGAGTCCAATACACGTTATGGTCTCTCCATGGCTTTCCGAGTCATTGTGTCCCGGGGCTGTATTTGCTGACGGTGTAGCCATCTATCCAATGGCCATTTGTGTGCTCCATTAGTTTCTTATGAATGTGCGTGGTTGTGTGTGTGTGCACGCACTGCTGAATAATGTGTTTGTGCCAATTTGTATTAACAAAGTTTTTGCCACCTCAACGACTCGGAGGCTCACCTCACGTCAGCGCTTCACTGACAAAAGGAAAAGCCTGCGACGTTAAGACTGAGGCTGTGATGAAACCAACTGTGATTAAACTGGGGGAGGGGCAACTGGAGCTGCAGGACGACCAGAAGAAAACCAGTGGTCAACCTTATTTCACCTGGTCCCAACACTAGAAGAAAACTGGGCTTGAGTCTAAAGTTCTAAGCTCTAACTTCCAAAGATGCTTAATGTTAATATCTTAACAACGACTTTTATTATTATTCCTTTTGGTTTTTATATTTTGGTCATCAGGTATTTCATCCCTCAGAAAAATTAAATCAGAGCAAACTTGAAATTAGTAAAACTTAGTTTTAACAAAGTTTTAAGGCGTTACTGTGTCACATGACGTCGTCTACGAGGCTCGTGGCAGAAACAGGTCAGGTGATTCTTGTTTTGATTTGTTTGCTTAGTGCTCCATTTAAAACATCTGCTTAATAAACAAATAAAAAATAATTAGCTGAAGTTGTTTTTAGACACTGGTTTACATCTTGAAGTAAAAATAAAGACCAGTTGCCTGTCGTACAAATACACCCTACTAGCTGTAGCGGCTAACTCCAGCCGTTGTAACTGTTTCTTTAGACACATTATTAGCTGAGATATAAAACTCTAAAGAAAAGAGTTTTGAATTTCTGAATGTGCTGATTAAAAAAAAAAGATCACCATGAAAATATTTACTTGAATTATAAATAAAGTCCTTTAAAAGTTTGCCATTAATTTCTGAATGTGCTGATTAAAAAAAAAGATCATCATGAAACTATTTACTTGAATTATAAATAAAGTCCATTAAAAGTTTGCCATTAATTTATGTCCAACCAGTGTTATCTTTAAAGTCATTTCTGTGGCTGCGCTCTGACACGGAGCTCCTTACATACGCTCCGTGGTGTAAGATAAACAGCCAAACTCTTGTTCTGGGAAGGTCGAAGTGATCTGTACCCAGCCCGTACTGACGAGGAGGAAAATCATCCGAGGAATTGAAAAAAGAAAATTAAAACAATAAGAAAACAGAGGCAGAGGCCAAGGACTTGCAGAGAGGAGGAGGGCAGACGGAGGAGGAGCCGCAGGAGTTATAAATGAAGAACAGAGAGTGGGAGGAGGAGTGTGGCTGTGCAGTCATTAATTAGCCCGTTAGCTAGGACCCAGGCGGTGTGGTTAGGGCCTGTGCCTTTGTGGGCCTGAAGGAAATGGGCCACATATGAGAACCATTATAGGAACTGACTTAACAAAGACACATGCCTGTCAGCCACCGGGCTGCGCTGCTCTGCTTACCGTACACAAAGGGCCCACCACCACTACTGTATGTGTATGTGTGTGTGTGTGTGTGTGTGTGTGTGTCATATATCAACGGCCTACATTATACACGGCCTCTACTTTCAGTCAGCTATAAATCCCAGTGATTTGTTTTAAGGGAGCGTGCACGTACGCTCCAGTCGTCCTCTGTCCGTCCGTCTGCTGTATCTGTTATTTCATCACATTTTTGTGCGCACACGTGTGAGTGTATAACGATATCTATCAGTGAGGGGGCCTTCGGAAGCGTTTCTTTAACCCGTGGACATCCCCCGCTGGCTCTCCACACCATTTAAAACCACATGACAGGAAACCTGGGTCACTTTGAACTCTGCTCCCACCGAACGACGCTGCAGCCGCTGACAACTGCACCGACACCATCGCAGCACGGAGAGAGAAAAGAAAGAACAACAAGAGGGAGGAATGGAAAAATGGGATGAAGCCAGCCTCCCACTGGGTTTTCATTGTCTCCATTCATAAATCAGCTACAGATAAGCCTGGGTTTAACACATATTAACACTAAGCTATAAAGCTTTCACAATGCCGAGCGCTCAACGGGGAGTTGCAACGATTTCACTTTTTCTTATGAAAACATTTTTTTTTTTTTTTTTTTTCCATCTGGACAGCATTTAGTGTTTCAAATGGAGATGTGAACAACAACTGGCACTTGTGAAAAGTGGTTTTACCACACTGAGGCCTATTCTTCTCAGCTGAAACAGTAGCATTTGGTCAGCTCCTCAGAGTATTGGCCTGAGAGGAGCGCCGGTCTGGATTCGATAAGTGGAAACAGACTGGTTCAGCGCTGCCTGTGTTTAAGGCCAACACACATCCGACACAGCGTAAACAGTCCATACCCCAGTGACTAAGCCCTGGAGCTCAGCCATAATGATTCTAAACCTCCGTACAGTAGATAGACCATATGCTTCTTACTAAGCTCGGTGTGTTTGCCAAGAAGGGCTATTGTTGTAAAAATAACTTAAATCACCAGACGTACGCACATGCTCCGCTCTGCTGTGTGGTGTATACATAGCGTACGTACTTAGAAAATTCTCAATTAAAGGAACAGTTCTTGCTTTTCATCCTTGTAATTCATTCAATTCGGGGCCGTAACTGAACAGCAGGTAGAAGTAATTACGGCAGTTTTACTTTAACTGCAGCACGGAAAGTCGCAGGCATGAGACGCCGTGGAATTCAGGTGAATTTAACCGGGCATGCTCCAGAAGCTCGACATGATAACATGCTGCTGTGCAGAGATTTTCCCCACATATCCCTTTATCCCTGAAACCACACATGACACGGTATCCATGCTTCACAGCGTGGAGGTGGATTCACTTCGGAGCAGTTTTTTTATGGCCGTCTCTCCCCTGGGGCTCAGAGGGCTAATGAAGTCCACTCTGAGCTTTATTAAGATCAGAGGGTGGGGTCTTATAATAAAAAAAAAAAAGCAGGAGAAAAAACAAGCTCTTGTTACCTGCTTTACATCTGATAAGCAGGATAATAAACAAGGTATGAAACCGGACTAGGATTAATCACAGTGGAAAAGTTTGGATTCTGGACTCAGATTGTCACGCAATTCAATTCAAGCAGTTAGAAAAAAAACTAAACCACTGAAATAGAAGCTGGCCCAGTTCCCACATGGCTATCAGCTGCTGTCCACGGATTTGAGAGCATTTGGCCGGCAGCTGGTGGTCATTTCTGGGTGACTGTGAATATATATACACAGAATGTATGGATCATAAATCTCACCTCATCAGGTGGTTCATTGACACAGATGTAGGAGTGGAAAAGAAAAAAAACTTTTTTTTTAAAGTCGTTGGTAACTGTTCCTCCAATTTCTAGCCTTTCTTTAATCATATATTTGATAGAACTGTAGCAGAAAAACAGGAACTGAAGAGTAAAGTCGATGTAACGTCACTGCTGCTTGTTGAGGAGACAAGAGGAAACATGTGGCAGTAAATTAAAAGAACTAGCAGAAACAGAGACCGGGGAACGCAGCCCCCCCCCCCCCCCCCCCCCCCCGGGGGGGGGGGGGGAGGGGGGCTGTAATATTGATTGTTAAAAGATCAATGAGCGATTTAGCAAATGACCCTGGGTAATTACTGGGTCACCAGTGTGTTGTGGTGGAACTATTTTAACTGTCAATTATGTGGAAAAACATAAAAAGGTCACAGCGACTGGTGTCCACGTCTAGTTGGAGTCAGAAATAAATAAATGAAACGATACTAAACGGCAGACAGACGACTTCGATCACTCGACGGCGGATAAAAGTAGTGAGTACGAGGAAGAAGTGGTGGGGGAGGAGGGGGTCCACGAGGGACGGCAGCAGTCGACGCACAAAATGAGAGGAATGTGCACGCATGCACGCGTCCACTAACCTGGATCTGCTGCTGCAGGATGTTTATCTTCTGCTGCTGCTGCAGGAGCTGCTGCTGTTGTCTGGCAATCTGCACAAAGAGGTGGAGAGAAGATGACAAGCGTCAGACGACAAGCGCCATTGTTGTCTTTGTGTTTATAACTCTGAAACCAGGAGGAGAAACTCTGCGTCTCATTAACTTGTTATGATTAAAATAAAGGATTGTGCTCAACAGCAGTTTCCCCCCAAATGATTTACGAGGGGAGGAAAATTCCCAAAATATTGCGGGCCAATTTGTGCATCATGTTTATAACTATTTTTATACCAATTTGAAAAACCAAACATCCGCTGGAACTTCATTTTATGTACGTTCAAAACCAATTTCTCGAAAAGTCCTAAAAATAAGGTGAAAGTCATTTCTATCCTTTGGTGAATCACTCCAGGACAAAGCAATAACTTTCTGTTAGTTAAACACATTAGGCTGTTCATGTCTGCTGTGCAAGTAAAACATTTTATTGTTTGGGAAGTAAATATACTTTTTAAGTCTTTTTTTTGTTCAATCTGCACCCGTTCTTTCAGATTTACATGTCGGGGTTTGTAGATCAATCAAAGGTCAACTTTCTTGATCGTTCACTTTCTGTACTGTGGTGAAGAGCTAATAAAGACAGAGTAATGTTATCCTCTGGAGTATTTTGGTTACAGAATATTACAGTTCATTTGTGCCTTAAATCACGTTGTCATTTTTCTTTGAAAACCCCAAACTTAATGGCCTTGCAAACAACCAGGGGAAATAAAAACCTATACCAGACCAAAACAAATGTGAATGGTTTCCCTTTTTTTTCCACGGCTATTACAATGTGCAAATAGTTTTAAAGCCATAAATCACATGCCTGAAAAATATACAATATCTTGGAGAGGTCTGACCCCATGCTGACCACTGAAAGGCTTTTTTCATAGTTTGGTTAAACCTCACTGATTTGGGTTTCACAGCCTGTTATTGTTCCAAGAAACAGCTGCTGGATCCCGGCCAAACGGTTCCCTTTCAAAACCTGACTAATCTTTGGTGAACATCAGTGAAAACAAGGACTGGGAGAGCGAGCATCGAAAGATAGAGAGAGAGAGAGAGAGAGAGAGAGAGAGAGGGTGAACAAAGCACGGCAGCATCAGCGGACATGAAACAGCAGAAAACGTCTAAATGTCATAAAACCAACACGTGGAGAAGAAAGGTTAACCGTCGTGACGCGTTCAAGATCGCGACGAGGACGTAGGAGAAATGTCCTGGGAAAGAAGGCAGCAGCCAGAGGTTCAGCTTCTTTTAAAACTACTGTGGTCACAGTTTCCTGGAACGCAGTGAGGGATTTACAGAAGACACGGAGTTACACGTTTGTTGGACCTCAGGCTGTGATCTCGTGTCCGTGACAGAAATGATCGAACAAATCCTTCTCTAATGTAGAGATAAAATCTGAAAATAGTCATAACTTCACATTCACATTCACAGTGCATTGTTACACAGAGACAGATGCATGAATTTTCAGGATTATTTTTTATCCTATTTTTTTGCATGAATTTTCAGGATTATTTTTTATAGTTTTGACCATGAACCAAAGACAATGATATAAAATAATTTGAGGGCAGATATGTCGTTTAATAATTCAGAAAATCTCAGTTGTTAGTTTCAGGCTTTTTTTAAATTGAATTTTGTAAACAAATTCTCCATTAAAGGAGAAAGGTTTTCAGAAAAAGTTATAGTCATATAAAGATCTACAAAGAAATTTCCTGAGGAAATAATTAAGTTCTATCTATCTAAAAGCCTTATTGCCCTACAGACTTCCATTTGTATTTCCGTCACCTCCGTCCATCACTGTCAAAACTCAACCAAAACGGGTTCTGATTTAGTTTATTCAGGTTGCAGACTGTTTGTTTTAAGCAGTTTAGTTGCACAGAAACGTCTGTTCCCTGTTACAAATGACCGAAGAAGAAATCAACAAATCACCGCAGTGAAGACTTCCTGAATGAACCTCCTCAGTGACAATGAACCTGAGAAAGTGACATGTTTACAGAACACGTCTGTGGAGTCTCACCCCTCACGTCCCATTAACAGCCATCAACAGGAGGGGGCGATCACCTCCCTTTGTTGTTGGGATGTCAGATTGTCCTGATAAAAATACCTACAGTCAGACGTTGAGGCTTTTTGTTGCATTCAGTGACTGGCGGCTGGAAGCAACCACTCACATGAAGTTAAAATCCTTAAAGGGCCGACACAACAACTATTTGATCCTCACTCACAGCCAAGTAAAGCAGCTGCCTCTGTTTTTTTTTTCTTTCTATTTTTTTTTTTTGAAGAGTCGTTTAGTGTATTTATTCTGAAATGTAATTACAGGCTGCTGAATGGGAGGCGGCGCCCCATTTGCACACATGTCATATTTCATTAAAGGCAGATTTCTCCGAGTTTGTCTGCAGGGCATTATCCTATCAAGTCTCAACAGCCAAATGACTGGCTGATATTGGAATCTGTCTTTCTTTTCAGTCTTTACATCTTCCCAGGTCCTTTGTGAAGCTGTGAAAGGTGGAATGTGTTGTGATGGGAGGTGTGTACTTGTCCAAACAGAGCCTGTCGTATGTCGACCTACAGTAACATGTCGGCAAAGAGCGAAAAACAAAGAGCGGCCCACCTCGACACCTCGCTCACTCTGTTCCTTTTTTCCCCCCATTTACATCTCTATCTGCTAAGTGAAGGCATCGGCGGCTGTTTGCTTTTTAAAAGACAAATTTAAACACAAACACATGTCAAAGAAATTTCCAGAAAACTTCTGTTGTGACTTCTCCTAAATTTCGTCTATAATTAGCATCCATTACTTAGTTTCCAAAGCCATCACCAGATGAAGGCAGGATTACCAACACATAAATCAACACGGCAGACGTCATGAGAAGAAAACAAATCGCAGTTTCTTATCTTATTTTGTCTGCCTGTATTTTGTTTAGACATTCAACCGAACCTTTTTGTCTTACATTTGAATTGAAAATCTATAAAGAATTTCCCAAATACGGAATCTTTTTGTAGCATGTGGTTGAAAAGTTTCTCGTCATTTTAAAGAACAGGTGCCGTTAAAATCCAAAGAAGAAATAATGACTTTGGAGGGAGGGTCCGGATCAACTCACTGTGATATTATTTCAATCTCGAAACAAATACATTTCATTGCAAACCCCAATTTTAAGATTAAAAATAAACCATGCAGAAAAACTAGTGATGGAGGTGTACAGCTCCAGCACAAACCCTATGTACTACAGTGGACACCAGGGCTTTTAACAAGCCAACGTCACCTCTGCAGTTGTGCCGTGTTTGACCTTTGTCTGACCTGAGTGTCATGAGTTTACACCAGGTGGTTGATCACTGGTCTGTGTCACTTGTTTTAGCACTTTTCTCATGAATCGGTTTGTTCAAATTGTATTTATGGCATCAAAGCAAAAGAGAACTGTTGTTCAAAGTATCAAACCCGGCACACAGCTGCTCACGAGAACAAATGCTTCGTATTAAGTGCTAGCAGGCAGTTGCATTGCATGGGAACAGTTGATTTAATTGTGGTATTTGGAGACTGCCAGTGGTCAAAGGTTTACTTTGATTCAGCAGTTTGGTTTAGCAGAATCGAGTGGTCATTAGAAATACAAAGAAATTCAACTATTTTATCTTAATTCAATTTGTATGTTCATTTAAAATTCATTTCTCGTTCTTGACTGGAATCACACACAGATGCTGCGAGGCGTCAGCCCGGCCCTGTACCTGCTCCTGCTGCTGCCTGGCCAGCTCCATCTGCTGCCTCTGCTTCTCCAGCTGTGACGCAGCCATCTTCTTCTGCTCGTCGTGGGCTGCCAGGAGCTGCTCCCTCAGGTTGATCAACTGGCTGATCATGGTGGACAGTTGACGCTCCTTCTCCTCCAGTGACTCTGGCGTACCTGGACAGACCAGGAGGGAACAGTGTTTCAATGATGAACTGATTATAGCAGCGTTCTGTGAAGTACAACGACTGTTGGTACAATTCTGTTGACTTCATGATGACGTGTAAAGAAGATGAAGGTGTGTCTATTCTGTAGCTACAGATATTTTACTGCAGCACCTTTTCTGCCTGAGTCACTTTGTATTTTTTTTTCCATTTGAATTGAACGTCTACACACGTGTTGGACCAAAAACCGTCCTTCCCATAAATAATCAGACTCGTAGTTCAATCTTACTACTTATTATCTTCTGTCTTGTCTCTACCTGCCATCTGTGTTTATCACTTTGAGTCTGTTCTCAAGAACAATATAATCACTCTGACGTCTCCTTTGTTAATAAGTGGCTGTCATGCAGGTTTATGATGTAGACATTCTTGGGAAGGTTTGGTTTGGAAGAAGAACCAAATCCTGTCACATGGTTCACGCCACATATCTCACACAGTTTGACCTTAATTTTAAAAAGAAAAAAAAACATAAACTGTCCCTGAAGCAACAACTTTGACTGCACCTGTGTGTGTTGTTGTAATAAAGAGCGTGTCTTGTACCTCTGAGAATTTGAACTTTCTAAACAAGTGAAAGTTGTTTTTTTCATGTACTACTATGAATCATCTACTGTAAACACGTAAAGAAACAGCAGCAAATTATAATATAATTTTAAGATGTTTACACTCATACAGTATGTATAATTAAAAAAGTATAATTAAAGGTAGAATCCATTAGAACTGACGAAAAAAAGTTAAAAAAAAATCAGTTCTTTTAAACAATGCATCATTTTTTTTAGTCTCTTGATTTTAATTAAAGGTGCAGTGAGGTCATTATTATTTTACCTGAGCAGATTTTGGCCATAAAACAGACAGTGTTTACAGGAACAACTGGTTCTGTTTCCTGGTGGAGATGATGTAGTAGTTTTTTCCTTTTTTCAAATAGTGAGTTTTCACACTATTTTAAATTTGTATTTGTTCTTCACGGCCTTCAGGACCAACAGTTCCTCAGTTCCAGGGTACTTTATAACTGGCACTCTGCCATAGAACTGCACTTCAGCAAACACAGACGTAGGTTCACAGCTTTTTATGTGTGTGTGCGCATGCGTGACCGTGTCTGTGTCGGACATGAACTCACATTTTTAGAAGTGTTTGCTCTTGTGTATGTTCGTGTGTGTGTGTGTGTGTGTGTGTGTGTGTGTGTGTGTGTGTAGGTCCTGCCCTGGGGCCATGAAGGGAGACTGCAGAGTGGCCCCAACACTACCTGCATACTAACAGAGTCTCCATTGTAGTCCTGTCAGGGCCCTATTGTAGCCCAGACCACCCCACAGACCCACCCATACACACACACACACACACACATGCACGCACACACCCACACAGAAAGGAAAAGATTGCCCCTCAGCACCCCTGTATCAAAGGCAACATTCCCCTTTTCTTGTCTCTTTTTTCATGCCTTTAGTTTTTCTTTTTCAGTTTTCCCCTCAGCAAACTCCCCATCAGTTACACTCCTGTCCAAAACCTTCCTCCTCTCTCTTCTCTCTCATCCTCCTCTCTACTTGCCTCTGCTTTTCCTCTTCTCTCTATTTATTTTTCCTCTTTCTCCTTACCTCCTTTCTTCTCTTCTTCTCCTACATCCTCTCTCCTCCACCCTCCTTTTCTCTTCCATCCTTTCCTTTCCTCACTTTTTACTTTGTTTCCTCCTCTCTTCTCTCCTCTCCTCTCACACAAACTTCTTCCTCTTTTTTCCCCTTCATTTCTCGTGGTGAAGCCCATTGTGTAATTGCCTGACTGTGATGAGGACCCCATGATTCATCCCGTGGATTAAAGAATGTGCTTTCCAAAAGTGACGCCCTGTTTTCCTTCACACTTCTGGCACCAATGATCTTCACAGATATTTTCCATCCATCAGGATTATTCCCCAGTCGAAACAGAGAGATGTGACATGTCTCTCACTCTGATTGGTTCAATCTGCTCGTCTGATCTGCAGTAACTAACCTGTAGCATTTTGTGTTGATTTGATCCAGAACTGAATTGAATTATGACCCAGAACTACATAAAAAGTCAATATTGATTCTTCTTCATCAGAATATGATGTTAATTCACTCACAATTAAACAATTAAAGCAAAATAAACGGAACAGCAGGTGGACAGGTCATAGAATCATGCATCAGGAGTTGAAGAGATTATTTGACAACTGCTGAACTTTACTAAAATGTAAAGTACGGTTAACTTTCTGTTTCTAGAATTTTCCAAACTCCTGGAGCCTCAGGCAGAGCTGCAGCAGAGGACCGCAGGTCTGCTGGACACAGTCAGATGGATACAGTACAGTGGAAGACCCTGGTGGGGCCCGTGTTTGTGAAGCAGGACACGCTTCAGGAGCGCGACTCGGCAAAGGGAAAGTGTGAAAAAATGAAAACTGCACTCCACTCACACACACACACACACATTTGTAATCAGTAATTAATTTTTTCCAGTGAAGATAAAAGATCTTTTCTTCACCCTCAAAACAGACGATGACTGAACGCCCTGTCGTGTTTGTTAACTTGTTAACTGTTGTGTGACGAGACACAGACTAAATTTTCTTCTGAATTCATCATATGTGTGTAATTACACCAGTGACCACCAGGACACAGATCTCACTATACAAAAGGGGAAAATTAAATATACCCTGAAAGAAAGATGAACTCTGTGTGAGTTATGATATGTATGGCTGAATATAATGATGCTCAAAAGTGACAAAAAAATATCTGTGGTTTTTCACCAGGAAACTTATTCCTACCTGACTTGAAAACATTTTTTTTTCTTTTTTGTTTCACCAAAGATTTTATTCATGTGATAACAAGCAACGTTAGGAAGGACAATAATCAAAAAGGCACGTCTACAAAACAATTTAGGCATTGGTTAAGCCAAGTAAAAATGCACAAATAGTTGTTTTTAAAAAGAAGGGTTTTATATAAAAAAGAAAAAGAAAAGAAAATGAAATGACCTTGCTTTATTGATGGCAGCCAACAAAAGTCACAACAAATATGCTCGGGTTCGTGTTCGGCTTTGTCTTCGTGTACGGGATTTGTCCGACTGACTACAGAAAAGAACAACTGGGAGGTCAAAGGTCTGGGGAACAGCAGTTTTTTATATTTTTACCAATATACAGTATGTTCAGATTTAGTTTGAGAGGAAGTGAGTAGGTCTGTTTGAGAGACTGAGTCAGTGCTCGTTCTGCTGTAGAAACTTCTCTCACAGAAACGTTCCCCCTCTTTATTTTCCACAGAGGAAATGCTTGTCATTTCAATGGGAGATGATAAAAAAAAAACACTTTCTGTCCCTGAGAAAAGCTGCAGAGCTGTCGACCACAAACGTATATATATGCAGAGCTGTCGACCACAAACGTATATAATTATATCTACACAAACATATATATAGATAAATATATTATATATGATGTATGTTATATGTATTCAAATTATATTTCTCTTATTTGCAGTTGTTGCAGTAAAAGGGTTTTTGTCCATGAAAATGGTGTTTCCATATTTCTACACATCAATCTGTGTCAGACTGTTGATTAAATAGTAGTTTTTTTCCTGTCTTTTCTGACATTGTATCTTACCTTTGACCTCTCCCAGCAGCTCCGTGGCGTTCAGGCGGTCCACTCGTTCTTTCCAGTCCTTGGAGAGGAGCCGCTCCATACAAGATGGTTCTACAAACAGAAACAGAAACAGAAATTGTTTTACCTTAGTGATCTGGACTTTTATTATCTCTGGGAGTCTTTAAAGTCTGGCTTTCAAATCTTCAAAATGTATCAAATACATTTTGTTTTGCAGGCATGCTCTTTCAAATGCAAAAAAAAAAAAAAACCAAGACTATTTTTCTCTCTTCTCTCCTCCCCAAACTGCAGCAGACACCCAGCTGACCAGATGAGAATGTCTGCATTGTTTTGACATGGGGTTTTATTTGTGGCACTCCACTTTCTCACAATGTGCCTTCGTAGCCTCAGGATAACGGACATCACAGCCATGTGGTCTCATAAGATTCATAAGGTCTCAGTTGTTCTCTCACAATACTGCTGTGAACTTCACTTCAACAATGGTCACTTTTACTACACTCTACAGCCAGGACGCCGCAGATGCACGAGGAAGAGGAAGAGGAAGAGGAAGAGTCACGGCGAGGCCTGATCGTGTTTGTGGAGATCAACGTCAGGTACTCGCTGCCATTTATCAGTGTATAGGTACCAAATATTTGCTTTAGATGATCTTAAAGTGGGCTTTAACTCACTGCTTTTATTTGACAGATAAATTGACCTGTTCCTCCCCAGAATGAGACTGAATATATCTGTATATACATAACCATAACAGTTTATATCGCACATTCAAGAGGCTCATCCTGTGTACGTTTGCTTTTCCACGAGGAGCCTGACCTGGCTTTTAATCACTTATTTTCATTTTGATTTACCTGCAGCGCATGAAGAAAATCCTTTTGATTTATTAACTCTTCCTGCAGAGAAACACTTTCCTGCTGTGGAACCTTAGACTTATTCAGTCAAAACAGAACTGAGTGAAAACGAGTCCATGTATGTGAGCGTGTAAGTAGCGTTGTCTTTTTCCCTATCCTTAATATCGGCATCAACTGAAACAGAACTGTTCTGCTTCAGCCAACACAAAGAACCAGACCTTGAAAATGCTCTTACGAGTCAATGCACCTTATTTGAAATTTTCCTTGTTTGTTTTTGAACATTTAAACTAGAAAACAAGCCAACAAAATTAACAAAGTAATTCCCATCACGGAATACTTTTTCCTGTTTCCGACAAACCACTTACTGCCACCTTCGCGACTCACATGATGCAAGACAACCCAATAAAAACAACATCTCTTGCGACCCACCTGAGGGTCGCGACCCAGTCTTTGGGAAACAATAATCTATTGGACCAGCAGGGTCAGAACAGGTCACCAGTTCATCTGCAGGTCCTTCAGGATAAACAAGGATTTACACTCACAACCAATATGAACAATTTAGATTCAAACTCTACCAGGAGACACTTGAAGAAACCATTCACCACAAAGGCCGTCATCTGAGACAGGATGAAGAACAGATGAAGAACAGTGACCTTTGTAAAGAGGCAACAGTTCAAACCCACTTTTCACCACATCATCACTTTGTAGTCGATAAAAAAAGAAAGAAAAAAACAGGGCATGTTGTTAATACTGTATATGTAAACGTGACATTTAATCCTGAGCATATTCAGAGACCACAGTATTGTTGTTGGCCACTGTGACATGCACACTCCCTGACTAATGTATTATTAAACACTGTGTGATTGTATTATTTTTTCTCCACAGCAGGTGGTTTAGGTTTGTGAGTGAACGTCGTCTGGTGGATTCAGACACAACATGTTTATTTACATTTACCCATAAACCACAGCGGCTCCTTAACCTCAGCCCACGTGCTTTTGTTGTATGAACATAACTACAGACACATCCTGGCCTGTGGTCTGACAGTTATACATTTTTACAACAGTTCGCTCCAAAGTCTCTGGCCGACAACTCCAACCAACGTTGTTTCTAATGTAGAATTCAGCTCGTCCAAACGTCGCCCGGCTGAACTTTTAACAGTTTTTCACTAAAGGGAAAACAACAACAACAACAACAACTATACATGTCAACTGTGTTTCTTACAACTTTAAATACTTGTACCCATGTTTGAACACCGGCAGAAAAGCCACAGACGGTGTCGCATTTCTCGGGCCTCGATGCTCAAGTCACCAGAAACGTCCCACAACCACAAGCGCACACACGCTCAGAGAGAAGGGAGACATTCTTGGTGACTGTGGGGACAACACGGCCCCGAGGTCCTGTCTAATTTAGGCTGGCAACAGTGAGACAATAGTTCGTTTGTGGAGCCTTGATCCTGACTATAGGCACCGACACGGGCACATGGCCTATTGTGAATGGCTTAATGTTGAGTTTATTAGTATGGGCCCATTGTGTGGTCATGAGAGGCCGAGCTGCTGCGGCACAACTTCCTCACTGAGTCCATTAAAGCCTTACGTGTTTACAGTGAGATTATGATTGTTGTTTGTTGTTAATAAGCTAATGCAGCGGTGCAGATCACATGGGATTAATGTACAGCAGGGAGGACCGTGGGGGGAGGGGGGCAGAGAGAGGGAAATACAATATACAAAGAAACAACATCAGACTTTTGGTTATTTTTAACGGTGATTTCCCATCAGCAGGAGTAACACTGGGTGTTCCCATGGTTTATCAGTGTGCAGAGATAACATCATTATTCCAGTTCTCCTCCCCCAGGACAACAGCACTCAGAGGCTCCACTGACGGAGTTGTATGTATTTGTTTGAACAGACAATGTTTACTGTAACACAGGTCAAAGGCTGCTCTGTCCCCAACAGGCCCTAGAATAAGGACGCACAATTTATGAGTGCACTTAAGAAAGGAAATACAACCTGTTACTCCAAGTAACATCTGCATAAGTCAATCGTGTGTGGACTCCGACACGGGATTTATACCCCCAGTACCCGTAAACAATTCCGACCAGGAGACAGTGGAGGATGGAGGAGGTAAGAAATAATGATGAGAGAGAAGAGAGAGATGAAGATGAGAGGAGGGGAGTGGGGGGAGGTACGGGGGTGAGCAGGGATGTTAGGGAGCCGTTTTACCCTAAATGGCTCTCGATTTGTCTGTGCGGCCAAGTCAGGGATCAGGTGCTGTTTAGATTTGAGGGTGGATAAAAATTCTTTGCTGTCCGAACACCGACTCCTTCATCAAGTGAGGCAGAAATGCAAAAGGTGGAGCAGTTTTAGAAGAAGAGGAGAGGAGGAGGAGGAGGAGGAGGAGGAGGAGGAAGGACCGGGGAGTAAAGTGTGAGAAACTGGAGGAATGAAAGAAAATAAATAAAGAAGATAAATGTGTTTTAGATGAGCTGATGGTCAGACGTCACAGCCCTTCACTTCTGTCAACCTCAAAGACTGACTTTTTAGGGTTTTAGTGTTTTTAGAGTTTTCTAAATCACAATTCCTTGAGCAGTGTAGTGGAAAAAAAAAAAGAACATGTATTTAAAAAAACCCAGTGAATTATCCTTCCATCGACAGAACAACAGCTTCAGTTATGATGTTGTCTGTCCATATTTTCCTCTTTGTTTTGCACATATTTAGCACATCAGTGTTGAAATATTAGCCAGTAGAAAATAGACCCAGTAGGTGGCAGTAATGTAATTTAAAGAATGACAGCTGTTGTGTAAATATGAAGACGACAAAAAAAGAAGGTAGGATTTTGAGGGAGGGAAAGGATCAGCTCTGCCGAGCAACTACTTTTTTTTTTTTTTTTTTTTTGACGATCAAATCCAGTATACTTAATTTTAATCAGTTCAAAACACCGGATAAAAGAGTTCCCTTTTGTATTCTTTTTTTCCTAAAAAAATCATTTGATGCTTGACAGTTTCACCAGTAGCACAGAAGTGACTTTGCAATAAAGTAAAATGACGTAGAGACAGGTAGCAGATCCAGTAGATAAGGAGAGACGGTAAATCAGGGCAGATGTAACACGTGAGCTCTGAGTGTTTGGTGTAAACACACTTTTATCACCTGTCCTTCTGCCAAGCTGCCAAGACACAGTGTTCTGGTTGTTTTACATGAGCCTGGCAACTCTCTCTGTGTGTGTGTGTGAGTGTGTGTGAGTGTGTGTGTGTGTCTCAGACAAGCAGAAACACTCCTCAGGACGGACACCAGCCAAGAGCAACAGTGTGCCACAGGATCCTCGTTTTTCTCTCTGCGTCTTTCACTCTGTTTGTCTTTGTATATACAGTATTTAAGATCATCGTGAAATATTTTTTCAGCAGAAACGTTCTGACCTAAACCAAGAGTTTTAGCAGTAACGTCGGTGATGCCCTGGATATTTGGCAACTCCGTGATTTCCTCGATACGTTAGGGAGACTTTGTGGTTTCTCTGCAAAGGTCTGATCATCAGCCACTCTGACTGTGTGTACACTGTTACTGAATGCATCCAACATCAACTACACATGTCAATATGAGCCTGTTTAAATAAATAAATGCTGGACGGTTTATTGGATTTCTATTGGATTATAATAATAATCCACCGTTTGTTTGACAATTGGATGACAGGACTGAGAAACTTGTTTTCTTATGCTTTTATTTAAGGTAAATAATCTCTTCATGAATGATACTGATACTGAGCAGAGTCTGAAAATGTCATCAGTCGTGATCTTCCTCTCTGACAGAGAAACGTTGTTGGTCGTTGGTCAGGAATCCCTGATTTCACAACCTTTTTTTTTTAAAACCAAAGAAGAGTTCTGTGTTTACTGAGCAACACTCCGTCTTCCTCTCTGACAGAGAAACGTTGTTGGTCGTTGGTCAGGAATCCCTGATTTCACAACCTTTTTTTTTTTTTTAAACCAAAGAAGAATTCTGTGTTTACTGAGCAACAACAGCCAATGTCTGTGTTGCTTTTTTTATTTTTTATTTTATTTTACAAAGCCAATGTCTGTGTTGCTTTTTTTTTTATTATTTTATTTTACAACATTTCACTCCTTTCTTATATTTTACTTGACATTTGGACGGATGTCACTCTCTGACTCACCCAAACCAAACAACGCCGTACGCTGTAAAACCTGGTTCTGCAGACGAAGGAGATATTTGATCATTTCAACGAAGTGTGAGAATTTTAGAAAAG